GCCCGGCTGAGCCAAGGCCGGTGCTAGTGGTGCTGTCGATGGTGGTGCTCGCGCGCTGCCGCTTGCCGCCGGCTCCCACCTCGATGCCTGGAATCGACCGGCCTCGGCCTTCCCTATGTTGCAAAACACATGTTTGAAGCGTTTTCAGAGGTATATTTTAGATGTTTATATGGATGTTGGAGTGGTAGTTTTTGGATGCGGCACATGTTGCAAGAGTTTGTTCAAAATGTTTCATATGTTTCAGACGTATGTTGCAAGTGTTTTATCTGGATGTTGCATATGTTGCAATGGTTATGTTGCAAATATATGTTTCAAATGTTTCATCTGTTTCAAACGTATATTGCAATTGTTTTACCTAAGTGTTGTAAAAGTAGATTTGGATATAGGGTTGTTGAGTGAAATTGCGAGAGAGAGAGAGAGAGAGCTAGCGCGGGAGCCATGGCGGTGTCGTTGTGGGAAGGAGGCGCAGGGCGTGCAACGCCGGTGTGAAAGAGGCGGGGGAGTCATCCGAGCGACGTGGAAGAGGCGGGCGTGAAGTGATGTGGACAGTGGCGGAGCTAAGGGTATATCCTGCAATTCCGGCAAGTGAGCAAGTGTATATACGTATTTATACAAAGAAAAAAGAAAAAAAAAAGCACTTACCTGCTGCATACCTGAGAGTCGAGCCCGAGCGTTTGAGCGACAGCGAGAGGCAGGCCGCGAGCGAGCGTCAGGCCCACGTGGGCACGCGGCCCATGCGCCCAGGATTTTTTTAACTTTTTTTCTAAAACAAATTCCAAATTTAACATAGTTGCTTTTTTATTTTTAAATCTAATACTTTTGGCCACGCCAAAATACGTGGCGCGACCAAAATATTTTGTCGCGTCATATGCATCAGCGCGGCACAATCTACCACGTCGCACAGCGATTTTCAAGTGGAAATCCTTGCCGTGCCACCGCTGTTTGCACGTAGCACCGTGGCATACAGACCTGCGCGGCAAGGCGCAATCTTAGAAAAATTGTATCTTTTTCATACGATCTCAGATGGAGATGATCTTTATATGAAAATTATAGCTCTCAACGAGATTTACAACTTTCTGATTTTGGATTTTTTCATTTGAGGTCGTTAAGATGTTAAAAAAATTAAATAATGTTTCAGCAGTATATTAATCGCGTAGAAATACTTGTTGTCTTGTAAAAATCATATTGTTCTTATATGGTGTCAAATAGAGATACTTTCTATATGAAAGTTGTAACTCTGGATGGGATCTACAAATTTGTAGTTTTGAGTTTTTGCATTTGAGATCATTAAGATGTTCAAGCAAAATAATATAAAGTTTCAGCATCATATTAATCGTGTACATGCACTTGTCAAAAATCATATCTTTCTTATATGGTATAAAATGGAGATATTTTCTATATGAAAGTTATAGCTCTCGGTGTGATCTACAAATTTATAGTTTTGGGTTTTTTTGTATTTGAGATCATTAAGATGCTTAAAAAATAATAATATAAAGTTTCAGCATCGTATTATTTGCGTACAAGCGCTTGTTGTCTTGGAAAAATTATATCTTTCTTATATGGCGTCAAATTGAGATACTTTTTATATGAAAGTTATAGCCCTCGATGGGGTCTACAAATTTATAGTTTTGAGTTTTGCATTTGAGGTTGTTATCTTCGGCGCGCGATGTGACTGATTACTAATTGAAAGTTGACTCGAGAATTCAAGTACTACAAAAAAAGGATGAAGATGATTGATTTGTTAGGCTGATGGTAGAGTCACACACTATTACCATCTCACTATACTTTCGTCATCGCTTTACATAAAAGTTTTATGCAAAGATGGTGAAAAAAAGTTACGCAACAATAGACATCGTTAAGTGTAAAATTGGCGAGATCTAATAAACTTAGAAATTAAACTATGACCTTAATATATTATTTTTATCGCTTAGTGTAACCGTATTCTCTCGTCATATTTTCTTGTACCTAAAAATGGTACTTTTCTTTTTAACTAATGGTCAAGCACGTGTGGCATACACCAGAAAAGATTTTTAAGAGGCGTTAAGCTCAAGTACATAATTAATATACTGCTAAAATTTTATATTATAGTTTAGCATCTTAATGACCTCAAATGAAAAAATCAAACTATAAAATTGTAGATCTTATCGAACTTTCAGGTGGTGAACTAGACTCAACTCTGTCTCAGGAAGCTCAATAATTTATTTGATCTAAATTTCTTAGGGTAGAATTTGAATTGTAAACTCGAGCTTGTCACGTACCGCGGCAGTGCCGCGTGGGAATTTAACACTTATTCAAGTTTGTTTTAAACATGTCTAGTCCCGTCGCGCACCTAAGATAACGACCTCAAATGAAAAAAACTTAAAACTATATATAAAGTTGTAGATCTCATTGAGAGTTACAACTTTTATGTAGAAAGTATCTTCATTTGACACCATATAAGAAAGATATGATTTTTCCAAGACGACAAGTGATTGTACGCGATTAATGCAATGCTGAAACTTTACATTATTTTTTAAGCGTCTTAATGATCTCAAATGTAAAAACCCAAAACTATAAATTTGTAGATCCCACCGAGAGCTATAACTTTCATATAGAAAGTATCTTCATTTGACACCATATAAGAAAGATATGATTTTTCCAAGACGACAAGTTCTATGTGATTAATACGATGCTAAAACTTTATATTATTTTTTTTGAGCATCTTAATGATCTCAAATGAAAAACTCAAAACTATAAATTTGTAGCTCGCACTGAGAGTTATAACTTTCATATAGAAATTATCTCTATTTGACACCATATAAGAAAGATATAATTTTTCCAAGACGACAAGTGCCTGTACGCGATTAATACGATGCTGAAACTTTATATTATTTTTCTTGAGCATCTTAATGATCTCAAATGCAAAAAGTCAAAACTATAAATTTATAGATCCCATCGAGGGCTACAACATTTATATATAGAAAGTATCTCTATTTGACACCGTATAAAAACGATTTGATTTTTCCAAGACGACAACGTTTGTACGCGGTTAATATACTGCTAAAACTTTGTTTAATTTTTTAAGCATCTTAGTGACTTTAAATGAAAAACTTTAAAACTAGAAAATTGTAGATCTCGTTGAGAGCTATAACTTTCATATAAAGATCATCTTCGTTTGAGATCGTATAAAAAAGATATAATTTTTCTAAGGTTGCGCCTTGCCGCGTAGGTCCGGATGCCGCGGTGCTACGCCCTGCTGGGCTCACGCCGTCGGCCATCGCCAGTAGTTGTCTACTCGATCAGTCGTCCTCGTCCACAGTCCCGTTCGGCCTTCGCCCTGCCCTACGACCGCACCGGCATGGCGGTATCTCGGTGAATTTGTGATCAAAATTGTTCGGGTGAGATTCGATCTTTGTTATTCGACTTTACGTAAAAAATTCATGTGTACTTTAATTGCTAATTGCTTAGCGTTAAAATTATAAAATCATCTATCGCGCAGCGAGGTCAAGGATTTGACGAGATTAATATGGAGTTGTCTTGTACGTCGGCCTTCGGTCCTTCCAATTCATTTGCTTCTTTTGATGTACAGAAGCTATGTAGATTAGCTGAGTTCTACACAAAGGAGTTCTCAAATAATAATTTACTCAAACTTGAATTGCATCTAATGATAGCTTCAAAGGTCTAGATAATATTGTTGATATCTCAGTTAAGCTTGTTGAAACAAAAAGACACAAAGTATATGATATGATTTATGAGCTCCTCAAATTGGTATTGCTTCTACCCGTGGCAACGATAAGTGTTGAAAGGGTATTTTCTGCAATGGTTTTAGTAAAAACAAAGTTAAAAAATAAGATGGGCCAGAGTCTTTTGGATGATTGTCTACTCACTTTTATTTAGCGGGATATTTTCTTTGAAGTTGATGAAGATGGTATAATCAAGACATTTATGTCCCTTCAAAAACGTTGAATAAAATAGTCAGAAAATAGCATTGTAAGTCTCCGTCTTTTATGCATATACTTCGATTATCGGTATGGCTTTTGAACTATTGATACTATATTTAGCGGATGGTTTGAACTTAGTCTATGAATTTAAGCCTTATTGTATTACTTAGTGCATATATACCAAATCACGTTTTTAATTTTACAATTATTACCGAACTGCTAAGATGAATTTACTGAATTGTATATGATTTTTTTTATAGCATACTCTTAGACAAAATCCTAGATTCGCCGCTGAATATGGAAGAGGCGGACGGGGCGCCGGTGTGGAAGAGAGGAGGCCGAGTCATCCGATCCGAGCGTGAGCAGCGGAGCGGTCCGAACGCTGGCGCGGCGCGGGAAACAGAGCAGGCGCAGACGACCCATGAATCCAAGAGACCAGCGCGGACGGCGGAAATGACGCGGGCGATGCACGAATCCGAGAGACCTACAGAGCGGAGCAGACGCGGGCATCTAGACACGCGTAACCGTCCGGACGTGTGGCCAGTAGTCTTTCCGCATATTCTATCGTGCAAAAACGGTCGTGCTTTCGTGTCGTGGCACGCGCACGGGATTGTGCTGTTTAACCTAACAGCGCTGCGCATTCGGTCGCATAGCAACAAATCGAATTAGATGTTTCTTTTTTTTATTACAAAAAAAACTTGTTGAGCGATCCGACGGGCACAAAAATCTCGATTGACTATTAAGGGTAATCATGTGCCGTTCGTCAGGATCCAAGCGCAACATTATTTTATTGCGAGTCAATGGTACCCGTAAAGTGCAATCAGCTTGAAACGAAAGCCAAAAGGAGATGAGATTCACGTCTTTCGCCACGCTGTCGCGGCCAGCCGCGGCCTCCGTTGTCGGTGCCCGAACCCCTCCACTCCACCCCTCCACGGCTGAGGTACCATTCCCTTCCTTTCCATCGCAGCGAATTGCCGATTGCGCCAATGAGGGTGGGTCTTGTAGAGGCCTGATCCGGAGACCTAACCACCGGGGCTTTTTTGTCGGCGCCGTCGGGTTCGAGCGGCGGCGGCGGCGGCGATGTTTTGGAAGGATAGCGGCAGCCGGAGCAGCAGCGGCAGCGGCCGGGATCAGAACGGCGTCGGCCCCTTCGGCCAAGTGCGCGTCCTCATCGTCGGTGATTCAGGTGTGTGCCTTCGCGACTTGTTCTGAACCTGACACGTGAGAACATGATAGGCAATCATATTAACTGTCAATCGTCTGTCTGGTGTTTCGGAATGTGAAATGTTCCAAAATGGGCTGTTAAATTTCAGAATGGGATGTTCCTGCATCAACGTGACGCATGCGAACGTTATCTGTTCTGACTGTGTGAATTGGACAGGAACTTTAGGTGCAATCAGCAGTTGTGTCAATATTGTATGGTGTGATTGGTTATATCTTATGCAGCACAATCCAAGTCAGCATAAACATATTACATATGCAATGTCTGACTGTTTCTGTTTGGTCGTCCTGCACAAGCAAACCGTGTTTAGTAATTGTTCGTCTTACCTTCGTATTCCAGTAGAAGTCTCCTGTTTCTAGTAGAGGCAGGGGAGGTGAGAATCTTTCATTATTGTGTGCCCCCATCGGCTTGTGTAAATCTAAATCTAGCATACTAGATGTAATGCACAGACCTGGATACACAGACCTGGATACAGGCTCATGTCGTCAACCAAGCCTGTAGAGTACTGTATAAGACTAGGCGAATTGAAGTCAGCTGATGCAGCCACATTAGTTTTCCTTGTGGGGAATAGGATTTTCCGAACTGTACAATGGGATAGTCATGGTACAGAGTAACTGAAATCGCAGAGTTTTAATCCCAGCCTAGCTCATCAACTAATGTTAATTTCGATATTCTATTCATACTTGAAGCTAAACTTTAATATCCTATTTCATACTTAAAAGCAGTAACTGCAAATTTCCATCCGGTCATTTCTGGTTTCTAACCTGGTTCCAATATCTGAAGCCCTGGTTGGAAATTTATTCTGGCTGGATGCTCACTGATCCAATTATCGATCAAGGACTGACCCTAGCATCTTCACAGAAATATGGCCCCTTTACTGGTGCTCTGTTGTCCTAAGTAATCCAGAACTGAACCCTTTCTTGGAGCCATGTTATCTTTAAACTGGAAGCTTTGATGGCCATGAACCTTATGAGCAATAATGCCTGAAACATCATTGTGTTTAGTTCCTTCATAAGCATATGTGTAGCTTTTAAAGAGTTGCAACTCTATAGCATTTCTCTTTGAAGATTGAATTGCTTATCCTGCTCTCCATCATATTATGGACAAATATTGAAGTAAGTCCTACAGTAGTATTTATGTTCAGTAGTATGTCCTACAGTCCTACACCAATGGAATGGAAGTCATGTGATGCGGCTGCACTTGTTTGCCTTGTCAGGATTGTGATTTTCCGACCTGTAAAATGGAAGCTGTCATCATATTAAGTCACTAAAATCAGATTCACACATGCATTTGGAATCTTTGACTAGTCTGTCGCCTAATCTAACCAAGTTCAGCTGTTCTATTCATACTTGAAAGCAGAGTAACCGCCAATTGCTAACTGGCCAGGTCTGGTTCTGAACCTGATTCCAGTATCTGAAACTCTGGTTGGAATTGTTCAGGGGTGCTCATCAGGCACCCACACTGGCATCTTAATATTAATAGAAATATGACACCTTTATTTGTGGCACGTTGTGGTAACTGTACCGAGACTAAACCCTTCTTGGAGCTTTGCTGCCTTTAGCCTGGAAGCTTGATACCTGTGAACCTTTGGCAAGAATACCCATGGCATTGACTCCTTCACTTCTCCTAAGCATATGTGCAACTTTTAAATGGCTGTAATATCTCTCTTTGAAGATTGCGTTGCTTATCCTGCTCTATATCGTGTTATGGAATAATGTCTTGAAGTAAGACCTACCAAAAAAAGGAAGCAGCATAGAACAAACTGAGCTTTGCTAATTATCTGTTTTGTTTTCGAGAACATGTAATGCGCATGATTCATTAAGTACTAAGAAATAACAACAAAGTCACAGATAGTTTCATGTTGGACCAATTGGCCTGCAACTTACATGACAATAGGGTTATAAAGGCCATTATTACCTTCAACGCCTACTCTGTTAATTTTTTCCTTGAATAAGTTAAAATGTTCAATTACATTCCTTGCTTTAATCCTACATGTTATATGGTGTGCTTACAGAATTGGCAAGTGGCAACTAAACAGTCCACAATAAAGTTGCACGATTTCAAATTTTACACTGCTGGCTATAGTTCTTTAGCTGTATGCATTGTCCTTTCCCCCTTCTCAGGTGTTGGGAAATCTTCATTGGTGCATCTCATTTTAAAAAGTTCTGCTATTGCTCGACCAGCTCAAACAGTAGGATGCACTGTGGGAATTAAAGTGAGTATTTTCTGTGCTTTCGTCACTTGTAGGGTTTGCAATTTGTGTCTAATTACACTCCTTTTTCTGCTTACCATTTCAGCATGTTACTTATGGAAGTGCGGGTGGTTCATCTAATAACATCAGTGATGCTGAAAGGAACTTCTTTGTTGAGCTTTGGGATGTCTCAGGACATGAACGGTACAAGGCATGCCGGTCGATTTTCTATACACAAATCAATGGTACATGCTGTGTCACTCTTTTTATTTCCAACATAGTACTGTTTATATCCTTGATCTTTTTAAGCATCTTTGGCGATCTTTCCTATGTGGGCATGCGGATCTTTCCTATAGTAGGCCTATTTATTATATTTTCTAGTGTCAATGCTTCAATATGCATAGGCTACCTTTAGCAGTTGTTGATCCACACCCGGTGCTTGTCTATATCATTTCTGTCAGTTCTTTGCTTTATTTCTACTTTGGTTCTAAATTTCTTCCCACTTTAGTCTTGCCAGCTGTCAGAATCTCTTAGGGAAACCTCTGTCCTTTCTAGTTATCTTACTTCTTATCGATCAATACTAAACATCAAATTCACCATTTCCAAAATTATCCATCAGGTGTCATATTTGTTTATGATCTCTCTCAGAGGAAGACCAAGACAAATTTGAATAAATGGGCAGTTGAAGTTGCTGAAACTGGCACATTTTCAGCTCCATTGGGATCTGGTGGACCAGGAGGACTTCCGGTGCCTTATCTGGTAATTGCTAATAAAGTGGATATCCTTCCAAGAGACGGGACAAGAGCAAGCAGGGGGAATCTTGTTGATCTTGCTCGCCAATGGGCTGAGAAGCAGGGCCTTCTTCAATGCAGTGAAGAACTTCCACTCACAGAGAGCTTTCCTGGAAACTCTAGTCTTGTGTCGGTTAGATCTCTTATTAGCATTCCCCTGCTCTCGTTTCAGGGTACTTCATTTTCTCTTATGGAAGGTGATGTGGTAACATGTATGCTTTGTTTGTAGGCTGCTAAACAAGCAAGATATGACAAAGAAGCTGTGATCAAGTTTTTCCGCTTGGTTTGTTATTAGAAGAGTTTCATTGGTTTATTTTATCCACTCCGTATATTTCACCATTAATGTGATGCTACTGAAATGCATTTTTCAGCTGATCAGAAGAAGATACTTTTCAAACGAACCTCCTGCCCCAAGTCCCTGGTCCCTTACTCCAAGAGAAGATACCATCCTTCCTGTGGAGAGTCTTGGAGGTGGCGTCGATAGCTTCCAAAGGAAAAGGTGAGCAACGCTCAGATGAACCAAACAAAATGATGACATAAATGGGGAATACTTTATTCATCTATGCGTAATTGCGACATAGGTTGCAAAAATGTAAATTTCTTCTACTTGTCTATAATTTTGTGCAGCCTTAGCGGTGAGGGGTTTTTGTACAACGGAGTAGTCCCACTCCCAGCGCAGAGGAACCTCACACCGCCACCAACTCTGAACCCGCAGCAGCCTGTGTCGTCCTTGGATAACTACAGGTATCATCGATTCTCCTCCTCGTCGCTTCCGGACGTGAGCAGCAATAGAACAAGCCGAGAAGACATTATTGATGTATGATATGAACTGCTTAATGCCTTTGCTTGCAGCATTTGAATGCTGCCAGGGTGAGCTTTTGTTTTGTTTTAAATTCCTGTCGGTATCAGATCACTAGGAAGTGATTCTTTCTCCTTTTCATTTCCTTTTTATCTTCCATCTGCATTCATTTAGAATACGTGTTGACTTGGGATGAAGGCAATACATGATACTACGCCAGTATACAAAAGCAAATAGAAGATTTTTTTTTAAACTGTTTTTTTTACTTGATCTAGTCTAACTTGGCAAGCTTGATTTATTAACTTGCTGGATGATGTCGAGAAGTACTCCTTTCACAGCCAGATTAAGTCCCTCTGGCCATGAGGGCGAGCCTTTGGTTCTTCAAGTCCTGAAGGATCTGATCATATACTCTCATACCATTCTGGATTTCTGGTCGACTGGTCGGTGGCGACCCCATCACGCAACTTGGACCGGACCAGCAAACAGCGATATCATCACACGCACAAGCACGCAACGCAGCTGCACAGGCCGCACGGCCGCGGTCCGCACCAGACATCGTCGCGACTCAGCTCCGCTCGGGACGGCATCACCGCCCATGGATGGAGCGTGCTGAAATCCAAAACGGTACGTGGCGCAGGCCCCGTACAAGCGGCCGGGCGTTTTTACCGGCTACGGCTAGCCACCCGTGCTCATCGCGTTTCGAGCCTGAAGCATTCTACGGGCGCGCCCGCCCTCCGCACGTTCAGTCCATGTCCATCCCAGACGGCCACATGTCGACCCACTGCGCGCACGGCCGCACGTCTCGGCTCTCAAGTGTCGCCCACGCGGCGCGACAGCAACCCAGCTGGTATTCGGCCGGGCGTACGTCGGTCGGGCGCGGTCGTGCGAACTAGAGCGGACTCGAGAAGAAGACCGTGACTCCGTGCCTCCGCGCCTAGCTAGTCGTACTAGTAGGAACGAAGACCTGATCTCTGTAGAGACAAAGGTAGCTAAACGTGTTTGGCTAGCTCCTACGGTCTTCTTAGCCATATTGCTTAGTTATTATGGCTTGTTTTGTTCATTATTAGTGCTAATTGTTAGCATCTAAAATTAGTATAATGGATCCAAACAAACCCTTAATTACTGGCTTAGCATCTTCAAATGTGCTCACCAAGTATACAGCAACTGAATACCAAACCTCTTTTATGGTTGCCAAATGCCAAAGGTTAGCAACTAAACCCTAATATTTGGCGTCAAAAAACGTATTATGATGCTTTTATTTTCTTTCTTCCAGTTATGAGGATTTCTTTGTGCCATGAAGATAAAATATTGTCCGCGTTGTGTTACCCAAAAAGAAAAATCTTGTCCTCGTAGCAACAACTCGATTATCAAAAGGACACGGGGCCTTCTTAGGCCCCCTTTGGAACGCAGGAATTATACATGAATTTCACAGGATTTAGTTCATTTTTCATAGAAAAAACGTAGGACCAGGAAAAAATCATGCATTCCAAAGGGGGCCTCATTTGTGATTCCTAAAATTTACTCTAGGTGAACATCTTTTTGTATGGAGAATTCCTTTCATCAACAAAATAATGTCTAGCGTAGTATCGAGTCAAATCATTTTAAGTTTGACAAAGTTTATAAAAAATATTAATGATATTAAATAAGTGTTATTAAATTCATCATGAGATATATTTTTCTAATACACTTGTGTGTTATAAATACTAATACTCTTTTCTATAAATTTGGTTAAATTTTAGAATTTTTTTACATCTTTTCTCCAGACGAAGGTAGTTGGTAGTACTTGTATTTCTGCAAATTCGGCTTTAAGACGTCAAGGGGGCATTATATTCCTTTTGTCAGGCTACTACATGTGTTATCCACAATATAAGTTCCTTGAATTATTATATTCAGTTTCTGGACAGTGTGTCCGTTGATTTTAATTAAAAACGAATCTTGAAATTAAACAATATGGATTTTATTTGTTTGTGTAATATTGATATACTCTGACCCGAAAAATCTTAAGGCCCTGTTTGTTTCGTTGAAATTTGGCTTATGCTGATGCTTATGTTGATTTGTTGTGAGAGAAAAACACTGTTCGTTTGCTAAAAAGTACTGCTGAAGTAGTACTGCATAACATGGTGTAAGATTGATAAACTCACCTTAGGACGTAAGGTATCTCCTTGATGACAGCTATATCTATATATGTCACGTCTGAAAGTGCAATCAAGTCTTAATTGTGAGTTTTTGTGATAATGACCACGCAATTAGAGAACTAATAAAATTTATCGAGATGACAAGCAGGGAATTTATATTCGAGGATGCTACACGAAACGAAGGAGCCCCTAATTACATATATAGATGGCTTCAAACTCAAAAGAGGTTTAAGATTTTTTATATCTTGAATTTGAGTATAGAAAAAATTGTACTATAAAGGGGATACGATGTTTAAGCTAATATGTGCTACCAAGTGCTCAAACAATCACAAGCATCTTTAGATTCACAGCCAAGATGTGGCAGAACCACCTAATCTAATGCCTCCACAGAGTACTTGTCTTCCATTAGACACTAAGTATTCAAGGGAGAACACAAATTACGTAGTTCCGTCGGGCACACCCCAAGGGAGAACTCGAAAATCCATATTTTTTCATTAGGATCACAAATGAGAGAAATAAGCTTACAATATTTTAGCCATTTCTTACATCACTTTTCATGCAACATCAGATTATAATATTCATTGTTTATAATAAAGGAATATGATCATGTTATGAGAGTTATGAATAATTTAATTTAACAGCGAAATATAAACATGTGAACAGAGTTACAGTGGAATAAATATCTATTTATGACATGATGAATCATTGATATATAAACTATAACAACAGATTATAAAACTTTTATTTATAAAAACATTTAGTAAGAGTTATAAATAAAGCCTATAATCGTCGTGTAAAGGAAATCATCTCTGAGCCCTCAGGAGGATTCCACACACAAAAGTAGCTCTAGCATCCACCTTTCACCTGCAACAGGGGGAAATAAAACCTTGAGTAATCAATTGTACTCCGCAAGACTTACCCGACAGGAGGAAAGAAAAGACTCCAATGATATGCAAGGCTATCTGGCTTGTGAGTTTATTGCATCTGCAGGAACCATTACTAAGCGTGCATCCTTATATTCGATTTTATTAGCAGTCATCATTAGTTCATTAACTAACCATTCTATGTAAGCACCTGTGCTACTTTCAAGTAGGTGATAAGCAATCATATTTCTTTTACCATCTTTCATCTTTCAGTTCTTATTACGTTGCTAGACTGTAGACAAGTCGTACCAGAACATCGACAATTCGCGAATCAATGCCCCAAGCTGGGTACCTAGAAACACACGCCCTGCTTGTACCCCAGGCACAAACAGGATCAACCCATTATCCTCATGTCATGGGGTCCAGGTCTTGTTCCAACTTGGACTCTAAGCCTCCTTCCCTGAGTCCTAGACTCAGTGCGGTGCAAGGACCTCCACCCAAAAACCATCCTAAAAGTCGGTCCGAAAAGAGCCGGAACCCATGACAAGAGAGTAACAAGTCTTTTCTACGTCCATACCAAGTATGTGCTCGAAATAATAAGTCTGTGACCTGGCTAGAACCCAATACAATGGTCGGTCCTTAACCGACACAGACATGGAAAAAGTGTAACCAAGCTATGCCCTGTTGGCCGCAGGACACAACCTCTTACACCCACCAATACCCATACCATATCCCTGCCCAGTCTCTATTTTTTCTTTCCATCATTTTATCATGAGTGATAATAATATAGTAACAACAATAATATATTTTCTATCTCTCGTGAGTGACAGGCAATCACTTGATTTCTATCGGAGTCCTGTAGCATAGCAATCTACACGATCATATCATACTAGTAAGACTCATAGGATAAAGATATATATATATATATATATATGCAAGTGGGTTTCATTCAACTCCTTAAAACTTAATGCACAAACATAATTTAAAGTGCAGAAAAGTAGGGGTTATGCACCGGGACTTGCCTGGGTAAGATACAATCAAAAGTTAGTATTCCATCTTGGTGACACGATCATCGAGACACCATCTTTTTAGCTACTCCATTTGATACAATCGATCCACCGTGATTTCTATTATGATATGCAATGCGATGTAGAGATGATGCAACCGTTAATTAACTAGGCAACAACAACTCTTAAAACAGAGTACATACTATGAACTAACAAGCTAGCTCTAATGACTAATGTACTAATCTACGTATCAACATCGTCGAAAAATGTGTCATTTCCCAACAAGTGTTTTAGTTATACAATTTCAAGACGTTTCTTTATCCCATTCTATTGATTTAATATTTATTCAAAATAGGGCATTATTATCTATCTAGCAACTAATTATTCTGAAGCTATAAAAATAAAAGTGAGCAGCTAATAATATTAGTAATTTACTGTAAAATTTTCAGAGTCAATACTATCACATATTTATCACGGAAATTTCTACAAGTTCCCATTTTAACAATACTAAATATTTTAAAATAATTAGAGCAACTCTAGAAACATTTTAAAACTAGATGAACCAATTATGCTAATAAATAGATCATGATTTTAGGAGCCTAACAAAATTAGTTTCACCATTTTTGGATAACTACACAAGTTTATATTGATTTTACAAGTTTATTTCCAAAACTAAATTAGCTAAATGTTTTCTAGAACAAAAAGGGCCGACGGCCGCTAAGCAGCCCAGCAGCCCCAACGCGGCCCGCGTGGAGCGGCCACGCGCGCAGCAGGCCTGACCAGCAAGCGGCCCGTGGCGTGCCGGCGACAGGCCGGCCCTACATGTAACACCCTCGGTGTTACACTGTACAACTTTTTGCTAAAAGACTGCATGAGCATCATACTTGTGTGTAAATATGTGTAATATAGGGTATAAAGCAATATACGGAACTTGAAACGTTCATTTGAAACATGAAATGCATGTTACATTTCATGTCGCGTTGTATTACTTGGGGTTCTAAATAAAGTTTCATTGAACGAAAATGCTATAGAACGCGTATGCGAAACTTTAGTAA